CATATTTATATTACTAGGTAACTACATATTTATTGGTTACTGTGTAAGCATGGTAATATAGTAAATAGGATGTTCATAAGCACTTACACACTTTTACACATATACTAACAATAAATCCTGACCACCCAGGTCCAGCTAGATCCAAGAGCTGAGCCCCTGATGGGAGATCAAGAGGGAAGCTCTAGACCTTTAGTAATTTTAGCAATATTTTAAGTCTTAATACCACTATGTTATGGCTTAAAGTGCCGATTTCCTTTGTGAAATTTTCTGTGGACAAAGGCCTTTAACAATCAACAATATCATTTTGAGAAAAGAAGAAACGTAAACATCTGTTCATTTAATTGGATAATTTATTGAAAGTTTAAACACATTGTCAAGAATTACTTTAATGAGTTCAGTAATGCAGAACTGTGAAAACTAAACAAAACATGCTTTACATGCCTTTTTTAAAGCAAATGTTTTTATTATTTCACTGAAGTCAATTCTCCCCACAAATTCGCTCTCAATACTAAGGATGGCTAGGTCATTCAGTCTCTCCTGTGTCATCGTGCTCCTCAAGAAGCTCTTGATGAGTTTTAATTTGCTGAAAGATCTCTCAGCAGATGCTACTGTAACTGGCAATGTGCAGAATATTTGCAGTGCAATACATATATTTGTAAAATACCATCTAACTTATGCCTTTTTATTGTTTGTAAAAGTTGATATGGTCCCATATCTTCACCAAAGTTTGATGCATGTATTGCCTTAAGGTTCTCCATTTCCTCTTGCATGGATTCTGAGAGGTCGTCTGGGTATTTGTCCACTAATCTTGCTCATGAAAGTTTGAGTTCCTCTTCTGTCATGCTTCGATATTGCCACAGAACAATCTATTAATTGTGTCTGCAGCATCAAACCACTTTGACACTCCGTCAATCACCGAATCAATGACAACAAAGACCTTCCATTTGAATTCAGATTCAGGCTCATCAGAGCCATTACAAGGATTTTCTAGGACGTTCTCCCCTTGTTCATCATCCTCCTCAATGACAATAAGTCTTGCTCTTTTTTTTTAACTTTTGTTTTGATTGGAGATGGGGTTAATTTAAATTAAAACTTTAATTGAAATCTTTAATATTGGTACTATTAATAAGATACTGGGAATAAGATATTGATAAGTGATAACAATAAGATACTGCATTATTTAACAAAAAACAAATCATTCTTTTGATATGAAGTTTAACTTTGACGCTTAGCCTAATATGTTATACTAGGCCTAAGCGGCTAAGCGTAAGCCAGTAGGCTGATCGGAAAAGTTAAAACCTTGGCTTTTAAGTCTTTAGGCCATTTGCAACATTACAAGAAAGCTACTTTGCTACTAAGGAAATAACCTAATATATATATATGTAACTAAGAACAAGCGATGATTAAACAATTACTTACATTTATTTGCATTGAACACTTAACAACACGGAAGTATTTAGCTATTTGGGCCCTGGTGCATGGCATCTTGGATGCAGAAGTGCACATTACACAAAGTTTAGCAGGAAGGAGATTGCCGTGTTCTAAATTTAGAATATTTGGCAATTGGTGGAAGATATGCTGAAATTTTGAAAGGTTTGCTTGAAAGTGCTCGCAATGCACAAATCTCTCCTTAGTGCGAAATTTGTCTTTGACTTTAACTCGAAAATCTTTGTTTTTACTGTCAGTTGCATTAGCATTACCAGTAGTTTTTGAATGTTCTATTGCTATAACTATGTTTGAAGGAAATTCCTTTATTCAGTCCAAAGTTATGCTAATTTCCATTTTGAACTTGGCTTGTAGACTACTTTCACATCAGTTTTTCTGGTCTGTGGATTCTTAGCTTAAGAGTATGCAAATTTTTAAAAAGTTGAGTTTAAAGTTGGGGCATTTTTTATGGGCCCTTGGGAATGAATGGGCCCCAGGGGTAGTTGCCCCCTTGGCCCCCTCTCGGTGGGCCTGCTAACACCCAAATAATTAACAAGTTTATTGGCTTGAATACAACTTTGTACAGAGCCATATCATAAATATTTTCTCTCACTTCTATAAAGTACTTTAGACAATTCTTGTTGCAACTACTGTACTGTAAAGAAACCGATAAGTTCTACCCTACTGTGTACTCGGCGCTGGAACTCAAATAGACTCTGAAGGAAATGTCTGCTTATTGACTTATTGGATCTGCCTGGACTTATTACAAAGTTATAATATAAACATTTTATAATACGTTAGACAATTGTCGTTAAAATCATTATACTGTCAACAAGTTGAAAAATTCAGAAAATAGCAGATAAAATACAAAGTTTTACTGTAAAAAACAACATTTTAAATGTATTTAGGAGGCTTTAGAGATTATGCAAATGAAATTAGCAATTTTTGGGATGAAGAGAAGTATTTTTAATCTTAACATGAAAATCACTTTGCATTTGGACTAGTAAAAAGAAAAAGACTATATGTATTCAAGGAAAAATCTGATTTTTGTATGTAAAAGACTTGTATTGTTTACTGAAAGTCTGCCAAATTTTGTGAAGATACACATACTATATTAAAGTTAGTAGTATCAAAACTATAACAACTGTAAAGAGTACAAAGTGGTCACATGGTCGGTCAAATTGATCAAGCCTGTGTAGAAAGAGTTAATGGTAAGTTTTGGTTTCAAATTGTTATTAATATGGTATAATGTCACGTAGTGCTACGACCAAGTGGAGCTTTTGTACTTTTTTTTTATGTTGCTAAAGACAGTCACTATAAAGAGAGAATTTAATATTAATTAGCTTTTTTGGACAGGATTAAATTTTTAATATTTAAATATTAATAGCATTTATTGAAGACAAGTTAGAGCTCTTACTAGCTTAACATAGAACTTCTTTCCAAAATATGTTTGTATGGGAAATCCTAAGAGGCATATGTTAGTGTTGGGAACTGAAACAAGGTTGATGGTTTTTTTCAATATAAGCCCCACTTTCTAGGAAATCATTTAAAAATCCCCAGCTAACTGTAAAACTATGTATGTTAACTAATTGTAAATATTGTCTTTTTGGCACAGTCTTCATCAGCATGGACCTGTAAAATTCCTATAGTTTTAAATGAGTGTAAGTAAATTTTTCAGAATGGGTATGTAGAAGGTAACTTAAGATATTTACAAATGTTCAATTAATTAACAGTTCTTTATTATCGCTTACTATGCTTTTGCTGTTTTGTAATAAGTCCTTGTATAAAAATATTTCTGTAATTTTAATTCTCATGCTGATCTTACCTCACACCTAAGTTTAAAATAATTGTTACTTTTAAGTATGTAATGTTTGTATCCATAATATTTGTCCACAGTTAGTACAAAATTTAGCAAGACCCATGTCTGTTATTATGCAGTTAATTTGCAAGATTATTAATACAACACTATTCCATATTGAAATCCTCAAGCCTATAATACTCCACATACAAGAAACTTGATAATTTTGTGCTTTAATAAAGTTGATCTAATTTCTACTCAAAATATAAGTTCTTTAATTCTTTGTCTCCAAGCAGCCAATATATATAGGCAATTTAGTTTTCCTACTTGGACAAGCTGCCAGTATATCGACTGGTAAGTCTTGTTCCGTTTCACAATCAATCCTACATTTTGAATGCCTTATATCTTCAATCTGAGAACCAATTTGATAAAAGAAAGACATGTTTTCAGCAATATATGTGGGTTTTTTTAAACCTCTATTTTGAAACAAAGAAAACAACCATTCCCATTACTTCTGGTAGGTCTCGTCACTTTACTTCTGAGCAAGCTAGGAATTTACTTGAGGAACTTCTGAACTAAGAAAATGACTATTCACAGTGATCTTGATTATGATAATTTTGAAAGTGAAAAACCTGACTTGGATAGATTTAATGAAAGTGAGAGAGAGGAGAGTCCTGTGGCAGGCCCTTCAGGTGTGAGTACAACTAAAGGCAAGGGAGAGGCCAGTAAAGAAAAAGAAAATCAGGGTCTAGATCTAGACCTAACAAGATGAAGAGGACAGTTATAGGAGCAGGAGAAGATTGTGAGAATGGTGAAGATGAAGTAGCATGGAGAGTAGTTGAAGAAGGAGAGATTGATGTTAACTTTTCATTTCATGAGCCACAACAAAATGGGCAGCTGAATTTAGATAAAAGCCATTCACTACTGGATTTCCTCAGTGCTTTTCTTGACAAAGAAATTGTTGTGGCCATTTTGTTTCTAGCATTAAAGCATATGCAGCAAAGGTTTTGGAGAAAAACAATCCTCCAACAAACTTAACATCATTTGCCTCATGGGTGCCAATTACTTATTATGAATGGTTGAAGTTTTCAGCAGTTTTGATTGCTATGGATTTGGACCCTCAACCCATTGTACTACTGACCCACTACTGGATATTTCTACACACACACTGGTACCATCAGATGTTTGCTAGGAACATGTTTGAGATCATCTAGCACAGCATGTTTCATGTCTGTGAACCAAATGCTGAAAAAAAGCAAAGATTGAGCCATTTGTGGAGATGTTGGAAAAGTTCCAGGTTGCTTTCTACCTGTATGAAAATGTGTATATTGATGAGATGGCTGTTGAGTGGAAAGGCAGATTCAAGCACAAGTAGCTCAAGGCAAGCAAGTTCCAAAAATATCACATCAAGACATTCAGGCTTTTCAGTTCTGCAAAAGACTATGAAAAGTTATTTTGGAAAGGACACGGCATACAACCCTGACCTTGGCACCAACTCTGCTCATGCTGTCAAAGTTTTTGACACTCTTCTGAAGCCCCTACAACCAGGTCATCATGTGTTTGCCAACAGGTACTAAACTTCAGAAACTCTTGTAGACTATCTTCGCACACACAGCTTCAATTACACTGGCACATTGAACATCAACAGTGTCAGCTTTCCTGCAGAAGTGAAGAGTCTGAAACTTGACCATCAGGAGGTGAGGTGGTTTTTGAGCTCTGGAAAGAAAACACTGTATGTTGGTTGGAGAGACAAAAAGGCAAAAAAGCCATATGTGTTTGTATCAACCAAAGCTGTAGTGCAAAACATTAAATAGGGAGCAGGAGCAAACACCATCATAAAGCCAAAAGTTGTGGATGACTACAACATGTCAACGAATGGCTGTGATCAAATGGAGCGGATTGTGGTATTTTATAGTATGCACATTCGCAAAACCCGAAAGTGCTAGCATAAAGTATACCACTGGATTATTGAAGTGACCCAAGTAAGTGCCCAAATCTTGTACAGCTTATGCCAGTCAAAAGGGACAAAGAAAGTGAGCCTGCAAGTTTTTAACCAAAACCTCATTGATGGCCTCACAAACAAAGTTGCAGAGGTGAAACTGAAAGACACCATAAACTGTCCGCCAAAGAAATTCAAATGTGGAGAGAAAGGGAATGAAATGGAGAGGGTGGTTGAAGCCAGATATCTTGTGGACTATGAAGGAAAGGATTGAGACTGTGTGAAGTGGTCCTGGAAAACATCAGTGCTCCAGTTATGTTTGCATAGGATGTATGGACAGACCACATCTGTGTCCAAAGAAGTGCTTTATCGCCAGCAAAATGAGCAACACTAGCCTAGACATGATGATTGCTGTACATAGATTGTATATATTTGTAAGATGCTGTTCCTGGATTTCTTCATTTATTACTTCCCTTTGACGTAATACATGCTGATGCACTATTCTTCAACAAAATGCACTTTACTGATGGTTTTGAGGAAAATTATGGATATACATTTTAAAATTCTTCACCTACCTGTCATTTTGAAGCTCTTGCAGTGGATATTCACCATGGAGGCAGTGCTAAGACTTGGTAAGTTATGCTTGTATGAATATTTCGTAACATAACATGTATAATATGATGTTTGAATAACAAAGCATGCATAGACTGCTTTGCAAAAAACATCCTCCAATACACTTTCTTGCAGCCATTTTTTGCTCCACCCAAAGCCTGTATTTGCTCCAGGGATAAAAGAGTTTGTATCTATCAGTACATTGTAAGCACTCTTCTGTTATTTGATGCACATTTTTTTTTGTCTACATTTAACCATGTGGAATGAAGAAAGAAAGGCTTGTTTCTGAGCACCCCTGGTTTAAATCTTAATATCTACCACTAAAAAGTAGTTAAACTATCAGTTGAATTGCATAAAAATAGGGTTTTCATTGGTCACAAAAATCCTGAAAGTCGTGCAAGTTTGTAAATTGTTTTCAGTACTGAAAATCCTGGAAAATTGGTGGTTTTTATTAGGAACCTTGGAAAAGTTCTTAAAAGACTTATCCATTCTTTCCTATTTTTGTTAATCAATTGCCATATCATTATGTCAATTTTCCAAAAACCTAGAAAATGTGATTTGTAAAATGAGTAATAAGTTGACCTGACAACACTGAAGAGTAATAGGCTTTGAACTATCTACCTCTGTCTGCAAGTAAATGGGTGTCACATGAATATTTTTGGGATGATGTTGTAAGTGTAAAATAAGCTCAAACTTATTTATTGGAAATCTAAAATCAACAACTGTCGAAGGGATAAAGAAGGATGTTTCAGGATTTTCCTCATTCATTTAAACATTTCTAACCTAAGATCAACAGTTATTGTCTAAAATTCATTAATAAAAAAAAAAAGTAGGGTAGAATGCGAACCCAAAGAGTAATTGTAACAAAATTAGTGTCATAGACCTAACTACCATGTATATGAAAGTTATTTGCCATTAAGGGCAGCCTTCAGCTTATACTTGATTAGGTTATCCATTATTTTTTTGAATGATTGGTTTAGGTGGAAATATTTTGAGTGAAATTTTGGACCCCTGTTTTTAAATATTTTGAGGGATATTCTTGGACATTCAAGACTATAAATACAGTATTGTGACATATGTTATTAATACTAATTTATGTGTGTGTGTGTTGTGTTTAGTTTCTTCTTTGTAGACCTAAAATGTATAAAATTATTAAAAACTTGTTTGTTCATGATTTTACTGCTAATCATCATACCTTGTGATGACTGATACACATGACAGCACCCTTGACAAAAAATATAATTATTAAAACGTCTATTTGTTATCATACTAGAAGACCTGCAGGCTGAACTTCACACTGAAGTATAAATGCTTTATTGACCCTCATGGTTTCCAGTTCTTTTGTTAGATGGAATTGCATTAGAACAGAAAACATTTAAAACTAATGGAATGCAATTCTGCAGGAAAACAATGAATAAATTGTAGACTAAGCAAATGTAAAGAATATATGTAGAAAACTTTTTCCTTGGGTATAATATCATCACTTGATGTTACGGTAAAGTAGCACTGAGATTTCTCTATCTAGCCTTTACATGTATATGGACCTGTAACATTCATTTAAAAATACTGTATAAATGTTGGTTTTAATATGGTTTAGCAAGAAGAAAGATTTTAATCCTTATTTAAGAGACTGATCTATAATGGAAAGTTAGGCACTTCTTATGTTTTCAAAACAGTATTTTTTCTCTGATTCTAGAGAAATTCTACTTTGGGAATGTGAATTATAAAATAATAAATACATCTAAAATGGTTTATACTACTCCATGTTGTGCGGGAGAGAAAGTCGATCACCAGATCATGTGTTTTTTTTCTTTTCTGTGTAACTTTCTTAACTTCGTATTGGTTAATGTGTTGTTACAAGAGTTTGAAAATACTCCTGTGGTCTCTAGAATGCTGAAGTTGATATGAAGTATTTGTGTGAGAATTAAGAAGACAGCTTATGGATCACATGAATAATGTTCAACTCCATGATTTTGATCCTCTTGAACGATTTGTTTCGATGTGAAAAACACTGAAGGATACCAAGTTTTTCTTCTTACTGGAAAATTGATCTTGTGACACGGACGGTGTGAGAGTTGCTACTCATCTGATAAGAACGAATTATATTATGAAAAACACATTCATTGTTCCAGACACACACACACAACTTGAAAGTAGACCATCAAGCTATTATTCTTGCTTTTAAATCATTAATGTTTTTGTAATGATACCATTATTGCAATCATCATTCATATTTTAGACTTTTTATCTACATTTTAAAACACTTCATATTTTAGTCACTTTTACACCAGGAAATAAATGTAAATATTTGTTTTTTATCTAGGCTGTTTACAGAGACAGGGCAAAAGAACGTAGGGAGAAGTATGGACAACCAGAAAATCCCCACCCAAATAAACTAAAAGACAAATACTTGAAAAATATTGAGCAATCTGTGTAAGTTATGAAGTATTATATATGCATGTGTGAACAAACCCTAAATTTAGTCCAAAATAGAAATATAATGGTTAACACAGGGTTTATAGTGGACAAAAGATGAAATACAATACACTATTTAGCATGGAAGAATTATTGGACTGCAACAGAAAGGTTGGGCATCAATACCAAAAACTTCAGCCCTTGTAAATTTAATTTGGCATGTGTGCAACATACTGGACATTTATAATGATTTTCAGTTTACTATCAGTTAGCAGTTTTAAGAAAACCAAATGTACAGATCTAGTGAAAGACCTGTTAATTCCCAACAAATGTACAGATCTATTGAAAGACCTGTTAATTCCCAATAAATGTACAGATCTAGTGATAAGACCTGTTAATTCCCAACAAAACATTTTCATTATAATGTAAAAGTGCACAAGTAAGATGTTATTAGTGCCTCTAGTTATGAAGAAAAGGTACTACGAGAATAAAATAGCAATGGATTTTTTAACATTCATTGCTTGGCAAGGACAAAACCTGTTGTAAACTGTTAAGATTTTTTGTCCCAAAACAAAATCAAAGCATCAGTTCACAATTGTTTTTAAACATCTGAAGTATTGATTGGACAAATCCTTTCCTAGATTTATACTTTTTTTCTGAATAAGTAAAGGAATTAGAATTGTAAGCAGTCCATCTTGGACGTGTGTGTGTGTGGGGGGGGGGG